CCTTGTTACTAGCAAAAAGAAAGAGTTTTAAATATAACGATCAGTATAGCAATAAGCACCACTCAACATAGGTGATAGTTTCAATACTACGAGAGTGATGAATAAGACTTAGAAAACTGGGATAGCGTGAAAGAAGCTTCCAAACATTAAAGGCTGTTATATTTTGTTGTTGTTTAAATTCGCATATTTGAAAGACAGATAAGTCATCAATTGCTGATGGAGTTTGTTTTTTACTGACGACTCAAGATGTCAGAATAAAAAATTAGGATTTCATCCTCTAGGATCTAAACTTTTTCCCATAAATGCTTGATTGATGAAGTGATTGCTTCATCATAAGCCTAAAAATTACTCAAACAAAATTTTAGCTCATCTGTTATCAATGGTTTTGGTATAGTTTATCAGAACATATTGTCAAACAAATAGAAAAATGCCGTAGGTTTGAAAAATTCGATGAAGTGCTGAAGTTTGTGAACCCTTCAAACGACAACACCACAACCTCTTACACCAAAACATAGTAAGTTGATGCTGGCAATCATAACCGTAAAAAGTCCTTACACTGTGATATGTAGTATGGGTGTTCTAGGCATAAAAAGACATCCACTGATGGCCAAAACGACTATCTTATGTTTCGGCTTACTACTATATGTGATACAGATTAAAAACTCTATAGCTGAGATTTTGTGCATCTCTAAACTATAGGGTGCCTCAAAAAATGTGCCTATTGTTTAATTGTCAATAATTATTACATTTTAAAATCCTTGTAGCCTAAAAAACGCACATAAATGACAGAACTTGAGCTCTAAACGACATACAAAAACTGATCTTGTACCTCCTCGATCACCGTAGGACTGAAAGACTCATCGATTACCGTATGAAAAACTCCCTGTGGTTAGCTTTATCACTGAAGTCAAGCATTACTGTCATTGGTTTAAAGACAGTTTTCGCTTATTATAAAAAATTTGATACCCTGATCTAAAATTTTATAACCATTCGATACCGTAAGGGTGTTCCAAAAGCGATAAGTGCTGAAAAGCGCTAGAGTCAAGCGATTTCGCTCTGTAGGTTTACCTTAAGTGTCAGAGGTGCAAGATTAGTTAATTTGTAGAAATGAGCCGAGGCTAGGAAAGATTTTGAAGGAAAAGAGTTTATAACGACCAAACAATAGGCATATATTTTGAAACTACCTGTACTTTCAAACATTTCATTCATATTTTGCAAGTAGGTATATCCGAAAAGTTCAAACTGACTAAGCTTTCAGGCAGCTGCT